GACCTTACATATTCTAGGCAAGTGCTCTACCACTGAGCCATTCCCCCAGCCCTGTGTATTCCTTTTTTAAAAGGACTTCTCAAATTGTGTAAGCGTCAGGCCCCAGCGAACTAACTGGGTGATCTGTGCAAGATCTGTGCCTGTAGATAGTTAAACATCTCTCTGAGGTCACTGAACATGAATCTGTAATGATACCATTCATGTGGCTGCTTCAGTACAGAAGGCAATGGAGGCAGGTTTGTCCAGAAGTGGGGTTTTTGAAATGGAAATATGTTATTGGAGATATGGACTGCAGAATGTAAGCTGGAGGGAGGGGGTGGATATTAAGGAACGAGGTGAGCTGACAGATTATGAAACAAACAGGCATCCACAGGCTAGACAGGTGTGAGAGGAATGTACAGGGAGAAATCAGACGCTCAAGTAAGAAGACGTGGTGGAAGTAGGGTGTGGAGGTACTGAATAGGGTGACTGAGGTGAGCTGATGATCACAGGGGATAAGACGGCCATTCTTTGCTTTCAGGCAAAGTCTAAACTTGAAGATCTCCAAGGATCTGCATGACCTGCCCTTTGCCCACCTCTGTAATCTTACACCAGGCTAACAGCTTTCTCATTCCAGGCTTCTTGGCTGTCTTCACTCTGTTTTTTAGAGGCTGTCTCTGACTGAGGACTTACGGGGAGTAGTGTTCTTTGGTCTGGAAAACTCTCTTCCAAGCCAAGGCTATCTGCCTATTCTGAGCAATCAGTTTAAAGTCTTTTCCTCAGAGAAAGCTTTCCTAACCTAGCCCCTCTCCTGGCTTGGAAAGTATAGATCTTCTAAGATATGTTCAAACCAGACTATATGTTCCTTGCAAGCATTTGTCAGCTACATTATAGACATGTTGGGGTTAAATACCTATAAAAAGTTTTTCTCCTGGATAGACAAGGCCTGGAACAAGTCTGCCTTTCCTCTCTATTGTATCCTAGTTCCTCAGGGACTTGCGAACACTAGACATTCTGTAAATATTTCTAGTATGAAAATATTTTAAGATATTTAGACATAATAGTTTTTCCCAGCATAGTTTTAGTGCCTACAGATTTATATTTATAGAAGATCTAAAAATAGCATATAATATAAAAATAATGCAAAATTCCTCTCTAAAAAACAGTACATATATATCTTCAGCCTCACTCAATCCTGATTTGATCTCTAGAAATATGAGTCTAAAACAATGCAGTAGAAGATAGAGACATTTCTCATGAAGACTTTTTATATAGAAATGAAATACCTACCTGCCTTATTTGAAATAAAGGGAAAATACTGAAAATTCCAGAAGCTAAATTAGAGACAATATAATTTTCCTTTTTCAAAGGACTGTAGGATGAGTAGGGAAATGGGAGGGGTCCCTCCAGGATGTAGGGATTTTTTTTGGTCTTCACTTTGTAGCCCAGGCTGGCCTTGAACTCACAGCAATGCTCCTGCCTCAGCCTCCTGAGTGCTATGATTACAGGTGTGCGCCACCATGCCCGGCTTTGTAGGGATGTTTTGTCACCAACCCAGTGCCTAATTTTAATCGATAACATTTTCAAACACAGAAGAACTCCTACAGAAGAGTGTTGTGTTAACATGGGAATGTCCAGTTATGTTTTCTTTAAATGCAAATAATTATTACCTTGTATTTTGATACTTTTAACTGATCACTTACTTTCTAAAATTTGTTTTCAGGTTTTGTTCTAAATATGCTAGAAAATAGTTGTATTATAGGACCATACTACACTCAGGGTCAGGTATACTAAATATGCTAAAGCCAAGGGCTCACTCCTCAACTGTGGAAAAGCCCTACCAAAGCTAATTAGTAATGCTTTGACTCAACATAGCTGCACACTATGGGAGAGGGGAAACATACATATAATAACTTTTTTTGGAGGACTTAACAGCATGATCTGTGTTCATATATAAAAAGAATTGCTTTAGTTCTCGGCTAACATAAAAATTATACTTGCTTGTGTTCTAAAATGCCTTAACATTCTATGATAGACAACAAACAAGGGTTTGGGGATTTAGCTCAGCGGCAAAGTGCCTGCCTGACAAGCGCAAGGTTGTGAGTTCAGTTCCCGGTACCGAAGAAAAAAACCAA